GCGCCTTCTTAATCATAAGATAATGCTATTTAAAATTTTGTATTCGGGTGATGCAATACTTTTGAGCGCCACTGTATATGTGAACAGTAGCTCATGAAATTTATCAACTTGCAGGGAAAAAGATTGGAGGGGTTACTATAAAAAGTTTTTTATTATGGGTATAGTGATTCGAAATATAATACAGTAAAGTTAATTAGCAAATGGTTAGATAGTAAAGAAAATATTAGCATTTAAGATAATAATACGGAGTAATAGGGAAGGAACTGCCATTATATGGGTTGGGGCTCGGCAAATTCCTCCCTTGAAACAACCTACTACTCCAATAGTTTCATTTTTTTTACATAGCCGGCCGGCCCTTTCCCATATATTACTTTACTAAAAAAAATATATTAGATTTCAATTCGAATTTTTTAAACGTGTGCGTGCTTTATGTGTATAAATTTTGTGTCCGCCTATAAATAAAAAAATTGTGCTACCAGTGTGCTACCTACAGAAAAACTGCTTTCAATGGCACGTGATAATTATGGTCTGACGAAATCGTTACGTAAGTATAAATATTTAAACTCGAGATTTTTTCACTCATTACCTAACAAGTAACATGGAGGAAATTCAAGACCTTGATATCGAAGAGATTTTAAAAGCGTTTCCGAAGGTAAGTTACCTGTAAGAACTCGTTTTTTTTACGAGCTTGCGAATTGTTAAGCGCGATGGCAGTCTAGTCAATAAGTTGCTACCATAACCCATCGCGTAAGGCTACGGTCGTACAGTTTTGCAAGGGGCTGGTTAAGCGCGATGGCAGTCTAGTCAATAAGTTACTACCATAACCCATCGTGTAAGGCTACGGTCGCATCGGCCTTCCTCGGAATGCAACATGCAACATATTTAATAAGGCTCTCTCGCACAAAATCATTTATTAAATCATTTCCATTTTCCTTTATTATACTTATTCGCCTAGCTAAAGGATAAAGAAAAGGCCAATATAAAATGGTTATTGCTATCCTTTAACCCAGTACCGTTGGAGTTTTATAGATACTTAAATCGCAAAACGAAACATACTTCTGTCACTTTATATGTCTGTGCGATTTCAGCGATTTTAACATTATCAGAAGGCATTTCCGAAGATAGAATGTTATTGTTTCAGAACATTCAGAAAAGTTGGAAGGTGAGAATGTGAGTATATATAGTTTATCTCTTAAAATGAATTTTAATATATTTATTTTATGCAGGATGGAGCTTCAAAAATGATTGGAATACGTATATCGCGGAGAGATCAGCGCTTATGGCTATCAAATCAAGTTACAGGGTTCAAAAAGATTACAACAATGAAGTTTCCTCGCAGTATCCAAAAGTAAGTATCTTATTTGTTATCGTTGAGTTTCATTATTATTAATGTTTGTCGTTGTATTGATCAGAAACGAAAGCGCGATGATCCATCGACGCCCAATAAACCAGTTATTCGTTTGGACATAAAACAAAAATATCCTCAGGTTGCATTCTTAAAAAAGGTCAAATTTGCTCCAGAAGAACCCGAAGATGAAAACCCATTCAGATCAAAAAATTCAGCGGAACGAGATAATCAAAATGTTGTGGATCCAGTCAATTGGCGTGAATGGTTGGAGAATGTTCTAGAGGTCAGTAAATTGACTACCTATGAGAAATAATTGTTAATTGATTATACTTATTTTTCCTATTTTTACAGTTTTCGATAGATGAAATCAGAATAAAAATCTTGAACCCATATACTGCGAAAAATAAATTTGACGACACGATGATACGATACACTGGAAAAGAGCATGGCAGACATTTGTATGATTGGTCAATTTTTATGTAGATCATTTCCTAATTATCAATGAGGTGATTAATTTTG